TTAGTCCGCTTTAATTGAACTCTAGCTTGTTTTCATAGAATGTCCGGTTCGTTTGGGGAGGTGTGAACGCGCCATTGAACTCTGTCACGGAACAAAAAGGCGAACTCTGGCCCGAGCTAAAACCTAGGTCTCGGTCCGGTAGAAGAGAACTCCAGTGCGGTTCAAGTACAGTGTGAATGTAAACAGACCGGGCCCCGCTCCACAAGCAAGAAGTGGAGTACAGCGCACGATAAACAAACACGCATTTTTCTTACCTTATATGGAGCCGTCAACTGCCTTGTGTGAAAAACAATATTCTCCATGGTCTTCTGCCTCATCTTCTGCTCATGCTGAGTCCATTTTAAAAAAATGACAAAATATAACTCCTAAAACTGCTAAAACTTGATGCCACTCCGTTTTTTGTTTTTATTTCCAGAAGAAGAAGAAGAAGAAATGTCTTCAGAGGTTTTGTGTTGTTTCTTTCAGTAGTTCTTGGTGCAGCGCCCCCACAGGCGAGCGGGGAAATAGGTTGGTTCAACAGGTTGGCTCGACTGCACAGTGCAGTGTGAATGCAAACGCAACAGCTCAAATGTAAACAAAATGTCATGAATATTGGTCCCCAACCAAACCGAGTCTACTGGACTATCAGGTGTGAAAACAACCTTAGCGACTATCAGGATGAGGGATACTGGCCGGTAGTCATTCAGACCAGACACTTCAGACCTTTTTGAGACTGGGATGATGGCTGCAGACTTCAACGCATCAGGGAGTGATGAGTCTCTTGGGCATTGTTAACTTCTGCTTTTATAATCTGTTCAGTTCAATTCAATTTCAGTTTATTTATATTGCGTTAAGTCACAACAGAAGTCATTTCAGGGCACTGAACAGAAATATTCATATATAAAATAAGTCAACAGTAACATTCATATGTAAAAATAATAATTGAACATTATTTATCTGAGGAACAGACTGCTTTGAGTTTAACTCCATCGTAGAACTCTCATCTTGAGCAAGCATGAAGGCGACAGTGGAAAGGAAAAACTCCCTCATGAGAAAGAAACCTTTAGCAGAACCAGGCTCAGGACAAGTGGACATCTGCTTCAACTGGCTGGGTTTGGTAGAAACAGATACACAATGGCAGGTCAAGAATCACGTTAAGATAGAAATATTGTCAAATGAAAACTATTCAATTTTAACAATTCATTTAAGGAAATTAGGTCAATATGTCCTCTAGTAGTCTAAGCTTAAGACAGTATGGCATGTCGCCCCTAATTATAGGATTTATCTAAAAAGTCAAGTCAGATTTATTTATAGAGCACATTTAAAACAGAAACTATTACCAAAGTGCTGAAAAAGAAAGTCTTAAGTACAGTCTTAAAACTGGACAATGTGTCAGCCTCAATGACAGGATCTGGAAGTTGGTTCTACAAGAGAGGAGCCTGATAACTGAAAGATCTTCCTCCCATTCTACTTTTGGAAACTCTAGGGACCGTGAGATGTCCTGCAGTCTGAGAGCCAAGTGCTCTGCTAGAAAAATATGGAACAACAAGATCTCGAATATAAGATGGAGCTAGGTTGTTGAGAGCTTTGTACGTAGGTTAGAAGTAAGATTTTGAATTCAATTCTGGACTTGACAGGGATGGAGAGAAGCTAAAACAGGCGAGATAAGATCTCTCCTACTAACTCCAGTTAAGACTCTGGCAGCAGCATTTTGGATCAACTGAATTCGTTTTAAAGAAGTATTTGGACACCCAGATAATAGACCATTGCAATAGTCCTGTCTAAACATGACAAAATGCATGAACCAGTTTTTCTGCATCATTTTTAGATGTTCATAGTTTTAGCAATATTATGCAGGCAGTTCTAGTAACATTTTTAATGTGGGGATTAAAAGGCATACAGTTATACACTTTATACCCTTCCACATGCTCTGTGGGTCTTGTGAGGTGAATTGACCCTGGATCCTCTCTGCATGTGTAGCCTTGGCCCTCTTAACACCAGCAACCAGCTCTTTCCTTGTCCTTCTCAGCTCCTTTGAGTTGCCAGACCTGAAGGCAGTGTTCCTGGCTTCCATCACGGTGCGAATCTCTGCATTCAGCCAAGGCTTCCTGTTCGGGTAACTGTTAACATATATGATGGTGGTGACGTAATCAGCACATCTACTAATGTACCCCGGGACTGAGGATGTGTATTGCTCTCGGTCTAGCTCCCCCTCATTTTCAGCAGCTTCTAAAGACCTGCCAGTCTGTGCATTCAAAACAGTCTTTCAGTATGGGGCCACTATTCTGCATTCAAGATTTGACATTCAAATCTGAGAGAACACATTGAACAAAAAACACTATCAACGGAAAAACTACACATAAGTGCTTACCCTAGAGAACACAATCCGACCATCTGGGCTTCTGTCTGCCCACATATGATATAAGTACTACTAATTAAAAAATGTAAAAAGAAACAAAAAATATGTAAACATTACCATAAACACCTAACGTGTAGCTAAAAGGAGATAAAAGATATTGGATAAAAACGTTCCCATATTAGGGTGCATACTATATACCAGAACTTAATATAATCAGTTCAGAGCGTTAACACTGTAGCATCACCCTCCAATGCAAATAAAATATTGTACATACTGCCATTAAAGGACCTAACAGCCATATATTGCTAAACACAAGCTTAAGAAAAAGTGCAGATTGAGGGAGGCCAGTCCTACCATTTATTTTGATCCTTCTTGCCTGTTGCTGGAATAACATTACTCTTGACATATTCCATCGCTTTATCGGAGTCAGCAAACACCTTGTTCCTCCTTCCATGCATGATGCAAAGCAATGCAGGAAAAAGAAGTCCATAGCAGATATCTGGTTGGTTCAGCAGAAGTCGCCTCACCTCTGTAAACGCTGCTCATGCCCTCGCCACGTTCGGGGTGTAATCTATGGTGGCCCTAAGGTGTAAATGAACAAAATTTGAAAAAACGGAATTACATGTGAAAAAAAAAAAAAAAAAAAAAACAGAATTACATTTGAAAAAACGGAATCACATTTGAAAGAACAGAATTACATTAAGCCAAACGGGAAGTTTTTTTTTTTTTACTTTATTAACAGCATAAAACCGAACAACAGAACAATATACAGTACACACACAATGAAGATACAGTTAGCAGACTATCCTTTTAACTGTATCCAGTCTGTGTTGTAGAATTGCGCTGCACAAGGTGGCTGCATGTTGGAGCAGCTCTGTTACTTTCATTCTGAGATTTTGCTTTTGGAAACTTTAATTTAGCTTTTTCTGGATGTAAATCACATTTTTTGGATTATTGTTTCCTCTGGTGTCAGATGCTGTGCAGCTGGAAGGATTTTTACCAAAACTTTTTTAGTTTTGGACATTTGTTATGATGCGTAACCATAACAACAAGGTTGTTTTTTACAACCAACAGCAGCTGATTAACATCTCAAAAGCTCAAATAATATCCCAGCTACAGCCCCAAATCTCAAATGAGTTGAAAAGGATGTTCTGTGGACGCATTCTCATCTACCTGCCAGCTGTGCTTGAGTGCCTGACCAGAGATCCTGGAACTAGCAGGAAACACGGCTCATGACAGCGGAAGGACAGGATCGTCCCTCGGCGCCTACAGTTGGCTGTCCGCAGCGACGAGGAGCTCAGCAGACTGCTGGGAGGAGTGGCCATTGCTCTGGGAGGAGTTCTGCCCGGCATTCGGGCGCTCCTACAGCCCGGGGGAACCGAGAGGCCAGCCAAGTCTGGGTGGACAGATCGGACGGCATCTGCAGCCAGTTTCTTAGGTTGTTTTCACACCTGATAGTCCAGTAGACTCGGTTCGGTTGGGGACCAATATTCATAACATTTGTTTACATTAGAGCTGGTGCGTTTGCATTCACACTGCACTGTGCAGTCGAGCCAACCTGTTGAATCAACCTATTCCCCCGCTCGCCTTTGGGGGCGCTGCACCAAGAACTACTGAAAGAAACGACACAAAAACCTCTGCAGACACTTCTTCTTCTTCTGGAAATAAAAACAAAAAACGGAGTGGCATCAAGTTTTAGCAGTTTTAGGAGTTATATTTTGTCATTTTTCAAAAATGGACTCAGCATGAGCAGAAGATGAGGCAGAAGACCATGGAGAATATTGTTTTTCACACAAGGCAGCTGACGGCTCCATATAAGGTAAGAGAAATGCGTGTTTGTTTGCCCTGCGCTTTACTCCACTTCTTGCTTGTGGAGCGGGGCCCGGTCTGTTTACATTCACACTGCACTCGAACCGCGCTGGAGTTCTCTTCTACCGGACCGAGACCTAGGTTTTAGCCTGGGCCAGAGTTCGCCTTTTTGTTCCGTGACGGAGTTTGATGGCACGTTCACACCTCCCCAAACGAACCAGACTTCCTAGGAAAATGAGCTAGAGTTCGATTAAAGCGGACTAAACAGGGCTGGTGTGAATGCACCTTCTGTAACACTTAGCTTGACTTGGTCAAATGCTGCCCTGAGGCCTGCGGTGGCATTAAAAAGTTGTGCTTGGACTGTCTGCAATTTGCTCCTAATAAAATTAAAATCATCCGTCAGAGCTGTCTTCATCTCCATCCTAATTATCACTGTGAGTTCAGATTTAATTGAAGCCAGAATGTCTGACTTTAGAGCTGACTTGACTGTCTCTCCAAAGCCCGGTGAGGGCGGGGGCGACACACCTGTAGAACCACCTGCCAATTTGTCACGGAGGCCCGAGGTTGCAGTTGTGACAACAGGCCACATGGGAAGACATTGTTGCCTTTGATTTCTTTAGCTTAGAGGCCATATTAAAGCTCTGTCGAGTCAATCATGCGACAACACCAATATCAGAGGCAGAATTCAGTGTGGAGATAGCGAAGGTATAATTATAAAAGGCAATTTTTCAGCTGGGCTGCCGGGAGCCTAGCAAAATGCAGTTCACTGATTTGCCATCATGTTATGCCTGTAAATTTGTTTTACAATTTGGCATAAATGTATAAATCTGACTGATATGCCCTCCATGTGCAGGTCCATGGTTTTCTGTGGAGGCCAAGAATGAGGAAAGGGGAGTATCAGGTGTGTCCTACCTGAGAAAACTTTACGTCACAGTGAACAGAGTAACTGTCACCCTGATGAAGTCCAGGCGAACTCTGGTGAGCATCAAGAGCCTGCTCATGAGCACACACAGTATGCTGTTAGTTACACACTTTGTTACAATATTAGTTACAACTTAGTTACTGACTCAGTTACACACACCGTAGTTTGACACAGTTACACACAGCCTTCTATTAGGTTCACACAGCCTTCTCTTAGTTACCCACATGCTTAACCTTAGTTACACACATTAGTTGTACACACATTAGATACAAACACATTAGTTACACAGTTAGTTACACATATACTAGTTGTACACACTTTTGTTACACACGTTAGTTGTACACATGTTTGTTAAACACATTTTAGTTACACACATGTTAGATACCCAGTTAGTTACACACATATTAGTTATAGATATGTTAATAACACTAGCATGTGTTGCTAGTACACACTCCTTCTGGATGGAAGGTGAAACGTCTCAGCACACAAAAAAAAAGAAACCATCCATATGACCTAACTGAAAACTGTTGGATTTTATACCTCGATTATTGAGCATGAACTTTGGGGTATACATGTTAGTTACACACACAATAGATACACAATTAGTTACACAGTTAGTTACACACATGTTACATACCCAGTTTATTTATTAATGTATTTACTTTTGATTTATTAACCTTTATTTAACCAGAAAAATCCCATTGAGATCACAGAGCTCTTTTGCAAGGAAGGCCTGGGCCTGAAGGCTATAAGTTTTGGTCTATGGGAGGAAACCGGAGTACCTGGAGAAAACCCACGCAAGCACGAGAAGAACATGCAAACTCCACACAGAAAGACCCCAGAGCCAACCGGGGATTGAACCCAGGACCTTCTTGCTGTGAGGCAACAGTGCTAACCACTGAGCTGTCGTGCTGCCATTTAGTTACAGTTAGTTACACATGTTGTACATATGTTAGTTACACACATGTTAGGTACAAAGTTAGTTACACAGTTACACACGTTAGTTGTATATATGTCAGTTGTACACATTAGTTGTACACATATTAGTTACACTGTTAGACACACGAGAGTTGTACACGTTAGTTAAACAGTAATTTACTCACATGTTAGTTACACACACTTTATTTGCAAACACATTACTTACACATATGTTAATTGTACATGTTAGTTACACAATTAGTTACGCAGTTTCACATGATAGTTGTACACTTTAGTTATACACAAGTTAGATACCCAGTTAATTGCACACATGTTAGTTGTGCATACGTTAGTAACATACATGTTTGATATAGTTAGTTACACAGTTATCTATCTATCTATATATATATATATATATATATATATATATATATATATATATGTTAGTTAGACATGTTATATTGACACAGTTGGCGGCTGTGGCTGAGTGGTTAGAGCAGTCGTCCTCCAATGCAGGAGTTGGGGGTTCAAATCCACCAGCAGTCACACGCTGAAGTGTCCCAGGGCAAGACACTGAACCCCTCGTTGCCTTTGATGTGTGTCCCATCAGTGAATGGATGTGATAAAGCTCTGATTAGTCTCTTTAGAATGATTTGTTCAATTAGCTTTGTTTAGATCTAGTAGAGTGCTGTATGAATGGGTAAATGAGGACACAGATTGTAGTGTAAAGCGCTTTGAGTGTCTTGATAGATAGTGTACCAATGTAGCTGTTAGCTTCACTTCTAATTAATTATTCTTAAAGTTAGTTGCTAGTTTAGCAATGATATTGCCACACAATGCGTCAGGTTGTTTGTCCCTGGCAATACCTTTCAACATTTTCAAGAACCGACGCACATTCTCTGTCTCGTCCGATCTCAGAGGTCCGGGGCTCTCTTTCTGGACCTTCTGCTGTTTCTTTTTTGTCTCAGGCTGTTCAGGCCGACATGGTGGGGGAGCATGCCCCCTCCTCTGGGGTTCCCGGTGGGATCCCTGGTTGTATGGGTTACCTTGGATGCCATATCTTTTACCCTTAGGGCGCGCCCCCCTACTGGTACATTCGTTCATCCTCTGGTTTCTTGGGAAACCATTTAGGATCTTGTCTGGACCAGGGGGCACTCATCTGTTGTGGTTTTGCTGCTGGGAAATCTCGTTTCCTCTCGCCTTTCTTGGGAGGGGGAGCTGAAGCTCTCGTCCCTTCCAATTCTAATGACTGGGCAGGAATCCTCTCACCTGGGAACACCTCAATGGGTGTTTTGGCCTGTGCACGGGCCTCAAAGACATTCACAGCACAATTTTTTATCTCACTGATGGCTTTTTCTTTGAAATTAGCCATCATCTGCACTGACATCCTTATGTCAGGGTGGAGATTTTTGCTGAAAACAAACTTAAACGCTTCCTCCTCCTCCATGCCGGTTTCATTCCTGTAACCAAAATAAGCCTGCAAAATTCTGGAATAATATGCCCTTGGGTGCTCATTCTTACCTTGCATAACCTTGTTGGTGGCTGGGTAACCGCCAGGTCCCGCGCAAGGGGTATATTCTTTTATTAGAGCAGCACATAACAGGTGGTAATCCTTTCTTGTAGCATCAGGTTGACACTCTATAAAGGAAAACACCATCCTGGCTGAAGTGAGCTTGATCAAACCTATTTTATCCTCAACTGTAGCGTTGGGATAGCTTCTTAATTGGAAGTCAAGGTCTTGCAGATAGGCCTTAGTGTCGGTCGAACCCAACAGCCCTGGCTCGAAGCGTTGGACATATTTCGCTATTTTATGCAATACCGCTAATAAGAGTGGAGGCTGAGGGTTTGGTGGAGGCGGAACAAAATAATCACGTGGAGGTGGCATAAGGAGATTATGTGTAGTGTATGTGTAGTGTTACTTAATATGAGCTTAATTATAACAGATACAATGAACCAGGCTATTTCAGTGTTTATTTACTCCAATGCACTTAAAATTAATAAACCTACAATTTTCACTAAAAGTCTGACAGCAACTTTACAGTTTTAAACGCTCTTTAAGCAGTATAATTTACCAGAATTTGCTATTTAAAACAGTGTTCTATGAAATTATCTAAAACAAAGTACAGGTTCGGGTGAAATGGTCGGAACAATGAATAAACACTCACAGGCTGTTTCTGCTAGAATAATAATGTGTCATTTTATTAGACCGCCACAGATACAGTGAAGCAAAGCACAAGCACATTCAGTACAAATCAAAGATTGATGTAAAAGCCCCTCACCGTGACACCAGATCGGGAAGCCGTTTCAGTCCGAGTAAAAAGGTAACATCAATTGGCTGGGCATCGGATCAGGATCCACACCAGACTTCAACTATAATTCTGAGTGTCACACTTTAATACTCTCTGCATTACATGGGAACATCTCCCAGTAAATAGAACGTGCCCACCTGGACTTAAAGTCTGTGAAAAACCCTTGAGATAGCGTGAGAGCGTGAGAAGCTTAAAAAAACGAGAGAGCGTGAGAAGCTAGGGTGCGAAACCTCGAGATAACGTGTGGGGGGGTGCAGGCCAAGCCTCCCCCCTCAGGCCTCTCGGGTGGCTCACAACAGCATGCACCAAAAACTCTTAAATAGTCAGAAAAACAACATTTTATTCAACTCTCAACTCATTCCACCCTTTGGTTTTCTGACTAATTTTGCCCTTACCAAAAACACTTTTATATCACAGGTTAAATAGTCAGAGAAACAACATTTTAAACACTTTTATATCGCAAGTTAAATAGTCAGAAAAACAACATTTTATTGAATTCTTTATTTATTCCACCCTTTGGTTTTCTGACTAATTTTTAAAATTGTTCCCTTCAAAATCAAAATCTTCAGGATATCGCCTGCCAACCCATTCTTGGACAGATTCACATATAAAATCTAAAAATTCCAAACGGGAATTAAAACCCTGAAAAGTATGATTAATTACATTGCCACTAACATGATAATTCATTATCATGATATCCTCTGGGACTGTAGGGTCAATTGTCATGGTGTTTTTTTCCGTCCCTAACCAATGGTCCTCTATTATTAATACTATTTTCATTATAAAGCAGTGTTATAAATCAAACTAGTTATTCTTCTTTTCACTAAACAAGCAAAGGAGATACTGCATATATTTTGCGCCGTAGATGACATTCCTGTGAATATATCCCACCAATGGTGAGCCGACGCTTGCTCTATTAGCTTAGCCACATGTAAAACCTTTCCTTGAGCAATGCAGGTGGACACTGTTAGATCAGACACGTTTGACTTATGTGATTCAATCATTAGTTTCAGCTCTGTAGACCCATTCAATGCGCATTTGAAACGGTCTAGGAAGACTCGCCAGGGTACGTGCAAAGTTTGCCATTGTACCTCTGTTAGTCGAGTGGTGGAACTATAATTAGTTAATTGATAAGTCTGGTTGTTCCAAGTCCACAGATGTACACCATACACACATCCAGAGAAAGGCACCTTAGGTAATTGAGGATGACTTTTTATGTCTCTAGCTGGTTCATGAGTCCAATCACACAGTACCTCGTCTTTGGTTAAACATGGGTTAACATGACCTGTTTGCAGAATACATACCACTCCTTTATCAGCCGTCCCACATAGTTTCACGTCATAGGTGAGATTTGTCTGTGGCTCAAACCAGTCACCTTGCATTTTCAAAAACCAATATCCTTGTACAGTTATTACAGGTAACACATGATACCTGCATACTGTAGTTATGTCACTTACAAGATACTGAACCCAATAACCTTCACACATATATTCAGTACACTTTGTCAATTCAGGTTTTATAACTACCCAATATGTACTAGAAATGTTCCATAGCTTCCTCCACTCGTGGTGATTGGATGTGGTCACCACCCTTCGGAAACGCTCCTTCTGCAGCTGTGCATGGAAAGATTGCAAGGTACACACGGTCCAGTTCAGCACCTGGGTTATGTTTTGGAGTATTTCTTCAGTGTTACCCCACATCTTCAACTGCCAGTTTATTTCTTTTAGCAGTATTTTGGCCGTTTCTTCTTGAGTCATGACTACTGATGGCATCCAGACTCCAATTTGGGTAACTGCCAACGAAGCATGTTTCCTTCTCCTTTGTTTAAT